TACATTGAGTGCCAATCAGTACATAACGTGTGAACTTTTTGCACTCTTTTAGTGCACAGAGTCTTCAATACACTTGAAAACAACAATCAGTTTAGCATTCATTACAATTCACACCCGAAATAACGTCCCGCAGAACCGCCTCTCGAGTCGACCCCCGAATGCCTTCGTGTGTTGTATTCGTCGAGCGATTAATGCGGACGTAATTGACGGACAAATTGAGGGATGAAATGATGTAATGTATGGCAAATCACGAGTCGATTGATTCGCACACAAAAACGATTGCAATTGAGTTTACAATTGATTCACTCGTTTATAACTAATTCAGACTTCACTCAATACACACTGTGTTTCAGCCAACAGTCGCTAAACATATTAATTACATAATTATTAATACATTAAGTTTTGTTTGATTTATTAAACAGTGTTTTGCATTTGAATTATGTTTTAAAACATTGTTTTTCTTATAAGTTGTGTATTATTTTGTTTGAAATCTATTTGTTGTATCAAAATAGGCATCTATTTTGTAATTGAAATTATTTTTAACGTAAGTTTTTAAGGATTTTATTATGATTTTTAATTATTTGATTGTATTTTTAAATGTCTTTTATTATTGATTAATATGTAACTAATTTCAATGTAATGTGCATTTAAATTAAGTTATGATAATATTGTTATTAAATAACTCAATAAATTATACATTGAATGAAATTGAATTATTTTAGAGTTCAATACATTTGGCACTTAATTAATGCTAAACATCAGGATTTGGCATAAATTTGAATGAATTAGCGATTCATTAATCAAATAAAAAACAGCAAATTGTTTGGAAATCGAGAAAAAGTTGTTTATAATAATGATTAGTAATATATTTAGGGATTTGAAAGCCATTTTGCCATTGATTTAGACGTTTAATTGCATTACAATAACGTGTACTTGAAATTGAATTGAATGTAGTTTTCAATCAAACGATCATTTGATTGAATTCAAGGCTGACTTGAATTGCGGTAACATTTTTCATAGCGTTTAGCGTTACGTGTGATAAGTGTTTAGTGAGAGAAACACACATTCATTACTACAACTATAGACTATAGTCTCAAGACTTATAGTTTTTTTGAGATAATTATTATATTTTTCTGATTATCTTTAGGTCTTTAGGCTTAAAGTAATTACTGTTTTATGCATTTCATAATTAGCGTATGTTTTTGTGGTACAATTTCAATTTCAATTCACCTTTCAATGCATCCGTTTTGCACACAATTATGTTAAACACGTTATCAGCGAAAGTATTTTAAAATTATTTTCACAAACAAGTTATGCCTCTGTTTAAGGAAATTATTAATTAAATGGTTTGTTTCCGTTGAATAGTATATGGTTTTCAATACAATTTATTGAATCTATTTTTATTTCTCATTTTTGTGTCCGAAATGCAAAATCACTTGCATTTTAAACAATAAATATCAGACAATTGCTTAACAATAATTAGTAATAAAATTAATTATTAAACTTTTATTTTTGATTGCATTGCATTTATTTAATAGTCATCTCTTTTGATCCTTTTCTATATATCAGTGATATCTGTGAGAAAAAGTCGATCAAAACCATGGAATCAATCGAAGAGACTTCGGCTTCATATTTAAGTTTTGTGGACTATTTAATAGTCTTTAGTTTATTAGGTTTGGGCTCTTATTATTGGCTTTTTATCCGCAATAAGAGTAAAAAGTCTGAATTCGACACCTCTTCCATCAAAACCTTCTCTATTGAGTGAGTTTTGTGTTTATATTTACTGTAATTTCAATAATTTAATGAAATATTTGTTTGCATTTTATAGACCTACTCTAACGAGGAGTGTATCGGAATCGGGTTTTATTAGCAAAATGAAATCAGGGGTCAGTATTAGTCATTACTTTACAAATGAATTGTTATTTGATATTAATTGCCAAATAATTGGATAATAGGGTAGAAATATAGTAGTTTTCTATGGCTCTCAAACGGGAACTGCAGAAGAATTTGCCGCCCGTTTGGCTAAAGAGGCGACTCGTTATGGCATGAAAGCAATGGTCGCCGACCCAGAAGAGTGTGATATGGAGGAGCTCTCGAAACTGACCGAAATCGAGAACTCGATGGCAATATTCTGTGTGGCAACTTATGGAGAGGGAGATCCCACTGATAACGCACAAGAGTTTTATGAATGGCTACAAAACGGTGGTTCAGACCTCACGGGATTGCGATACTCAGTATGTTTGACACATTAATTGACGCGAATGTGTTTTATTAATGACTCTTTAATTATTATAACAGGTGTTTGCGTTGGGAAATAAGACATACGAACACTACAACAAAATGGGCATATATTTGGACGGAAAGCTAGAAGAGTTGGGCGCCACTCGTGTCTATGAGTTAGGACTTGGAGACGACGACGCGAAGTCAGTTTTTTTTTAATTATAAGCTTTTATTTTTTTACTAATATTTGTTGTTTTTTTTTTGTTGATAGTATTGAAGAAGATTTTATTACATGGAAAGAGAAGTTCTGGACTTCTGTTTGCGAACAGTTTGATCTGCAGACCGGCGAAGAAGTGAGTTCACGACAATACGAACTCATCACTTATGACGAGATCGCGAACGAGAAGATATTTCACGGAGAAGTCGCTCGACTTAACTCTTATGTCAATCAGAAAGCGTTAGTTTTTCTAATCATTTTTTTTTGAAATAATTTTTTAAATAAATGTTTTTTATTATTTTAGACCCTTTGACACAAAGAATCCGTTTTTGTCGCCCGTTTTGGTTAACAGAAACCTTTATAACAGCGATCGCTCGTGTCTTCACATCGAGTTAGGACTAAAGGACTCTAAATTGAGGTAAAATGTGTTTTATTTGCGGTTCAATATTCCTGTTCTAACGGATCAACTGTTCAGATATGAGGCCGGAGATCATGTGGCCGTTTACCCGAAGAACGACACTTCTTTGGTCGAAAGGATCGGACAATTACTCGAATTCGATTTGAATAAAGTGTTTGCTCTGAAGAACTTAGACGATGACAGCTCTAAGAAGCACCCGTTCCCCTGTCCCACCACTTATAGAACAGCTCTTATGTTTTACACCGACATCACGAGTACTCCCAGAACTCATGTGTTGAAAGAGATCTCTGAGTACACGACTAACGAAGAAGACAAGGCTTTCCTTAAGAAAATCAGCTCTTCTACCGACGAAGGAAAGCAACTCTATTCTGATTGGGTTATTAAGAACTGCCGAAGCATTGTTCACATTCTGGAAGATTTGCCATCAGTTAAGCCTCCTTTGGATCATTTACTGGAATTGTTGCCTCGACTTCAGCCCCGATACTATTCTATCTCGTCGTCGCCTAAACTGCATCCCGATTCGGTTCACGTGACCGCAGTTGTGGTCGAGTACGAGACGAGCACTAATCGGGTGAACAAAGGTGTGGCCACTAATTGGTTGAAAGACAAAATTCCGAGTAATAACGGCCACAAGGTTTTGGCTCCTATTTTCATACGTCGATCGCAGTTCCGATTGCCAGCAAAACCGCAAACACCTGTCATAATGATAGGCCCGGGAACCGGTTTGGCCCCATTCAGAGGCTTCATTCAGGAGAGATGGCATCTGAAGCAAAACGACAAACCCGTCGGCGATACCATCCTTTACTTTGGCTGCAGAAAGAAGTCCGAAGACTATCTCTACGAAGAAGAACTCACTCAATACGTATCGAACGGCACTCTCACCAAACTATACACCGCTTTCTCCAGAGATCAGGAGCACAAGATATACGTGACTCATCTCTTGAAACAGAATATGAAAGAGATCTGGAATATCATTGGCGAAAAGGACGGCCACATCTATGTCTGCGGGTATTTAGTCTTTGTTTTGTACCAAATTTATATCAAAACTAATTGTCATTGAATTCTTGTACCTAAAGTGACGCCCGAAATATGGCGCGAGAGGTGAAAGAGATCATAATTGAGACAATTATGACTGAAGGCGGCAAAAGCCGGGCCGACGCCGAGGCATACCTGAAGCGCATGGAATCGCAGCGAAGATATTCAGCGGATGTGTGGAGTTGAGCGCATTCTTGACGTAGACAATGAATTTCTCGTCGTTTAGTTTGAATTGTATTATAAATATTTTCGATAACGAATTCAAATCAATTTTTACCTTTAATTCTAACGCTTT